ATAAAAGTATATCATTTAGATATCTAAAAATAAAACGTAGGAAAAAAAAAAAAACTAATTTGTTAAAACTAAGCGTTTATGGAAACAAAAAGTAAACAAACAAGAAATATAAATAAAACTATGGAAATAAAATTTACTTTTGCAGAAAATAATTTTAAATTTGGGCAGAAGTCAAATATTCCATTTGAGAACGAAACAATACAGAACATGCAACATGCAAAAATAATGCTTCAGTTCTATATGATAAGCTGTTTTTATTTCCAAGCCGTCGATCGTTAGGACGTCGGTAAGCGGATCAGAGGTGGAGAGATCGAAACCTTTCCGCCGTTCTTTTTAAACCTCATGCAATTATACAACATCTATTTATTAAATATTTACTTTCATTAGAATAAATAATAACATCAATTAATTAAAAATAGTTACGGACTAATAAGTAAATATTCGGTTGAAGAAATTTAATTAAAAGTAGAAAAGAAGATAGTAATATAATAAAAAATAATGAAAAGGGATGTAATTCAACCTCAAGCATATAGTTCAAGATGGTACATAACAGTGTTTGCAATAACGTAAAAACGAAACTGCTATATTTTCAATTTGGAGCAGAGGTGATGTCATACTCAGGTATCATGTGACACCAACTTGGCGGTCATGACATTATATCCGAGGGTCGCATGATTCAAAATGGAGAAAATCTAGGACATACATCTTTACCGTGACGTCATCCTCGTTATCCACAGCTACTATTAGGAATTCCATAGCTTAGTTCGCTTTTCGGTGAGCAGTATTAAGGGTTTTAACCAGATTATTTAGCGAGAAACTAAGAATTTACAAGTAGGAAGATGGAGTTATCGTCTTCACAATTAATAATTCCGTTTTAGGTTAAACAGCACTTGTTATTAAGTTTGTGGTCGGTGGTTTATTAACATTTCCATAATCATTAACTGAAGATTTTGCATGTAAGTGTATAACTGACATTTTAGTAACTGGAATTACTTCTGCATTGGGACAGTGGTTGAAATTCAGTTTGGTATTTGCAGATAAGCGGCTCTTTATCCTACAACAAACAATCTCCGAAAAGTCAGATCCATAATATGCAGATTTGTTGCAGAATAAATACATAAATACATAAATGAATAATAAAATAAATAAAGAAATAAAAATAAAATAAAAGAAACAAATAAACGGAAACAACAAAGATGCGATTTAAATCACTTCCATTCAAATAAATAAGCGCATAGGCTTACTTATAACCCTTAAATTTCTACAAAAGATAATATGAAACCAGTGTTTTTAAATTAATGTTTTCTGATGAAAAAGACTTTCTTCAGAATTCCGCATTTGAAAAGTTAGTTCTGTAGCCGGACCCCAAGAAAACGTTTTTAATGAATTATCGGGTAGCTTTAATTATTTAAAGATGATTCTTTTTATTTGACAATGAAAATCAGGTTTATATCTGAAGTATTGTTTTCTTTATAAGCTAATACAAAAACTTAAGTTTTGTATAGTTTTGCGAAAAGTTAACTTCGCCATCAAACCTGTCTCAGCCTGAAAGCCTATTATATTTAATGCATTTCTTAACTTATAACTAAGGTTCTAAATCGTAACCATTCAAGTGATATTTAGCCATGCTATTATTTTAAGCTGTTACTTATCACGGTTATTTTGAGCATTTAGAGTAGTTTCATTCAGATTTTATTCTTAAATGAAAGTTATAATAAATTTGATTTTTGTTAACATTTTTGTTTATTTTAAACTTAATTCATCTGGAGTAATTATTACGTGAATTAAACTGGCTTAAGTTTTTGTTTTCTTACCAAAATCTTCCTAAAGTATACATCATCTCAGCTTCCTCCCTAAAGAACAGTAAAAATTTAGAAAAGGACTTTCTACGACCCACCAGCTCATCAGAATTTCTGAGTTTATTGGTGCTGCTCTCCGTAATACGTTAAGTATTGCCATCCTTATGCTAGACGTGGACAAAGCCTTTGATCGCATCTAGCATACAGGACTTCTTTACAAATTGATTCAACTTAACTTGCCCAGAGATTTAATTCTGATCCTAAAATCCCTTCTTGAAAAGCGCACTTTCTCAGTGAAGCAGGGCGACCACTGCTTCTTCCCGTGTTGTATCAAAGGAGGTGTAACTCAGGGCTCCATCTTAGGCCCAATTTTATACTTGATATACGTCCATGATTTTCTAAATTTCTCACAGGATCATAACTTTATGCTTGTACGTTACGCTGATGATACGGCGCTCACTGAAAGTTCCCGAAGATCTAACCACACCCTCCAGAAACTTCAAAGTAAAATCCCAGACATCGAAAAGTGGTGTGCTACATGGAAAACCAGGATTAATCCCACTAAATCGCAGATTCTGCTCATAAGAAAATACAAGATTAAAGACCCCATCACCAGCTCAGTAACCCTTTTCGGAAAGCAAGTACCGATCGTCAACTCGGCAAAGTATCTCGGCGTAAAGTTCAACAGGTAATTTACATGGAGCACTCATATCAGAATCACCCGGGGCAAAGCATAGGGACTTATGAGAAAACTTTACCTTCTTCTCTCAGATTACTCAGGTCTAGATCTGGCAAAAAAGAAAAGAACCTATACAGCGATTATAAGACCCATCCTCACCTATGCTTCAGCCGTGTGGACAAACGCTACCAAGAACAATGTCAAGAAACTCCAAGTTCTACAAAATAAATTTCTAAGGATAATAACCGGAGCACCTCATTTTCTCAGAATTAAGAATCTCCACAACGACCTGAAAATCGAATACATTCAAGATCACCTCAAAAAGTTAAATGAAAACTTTTACAGAAAAGCCGAGCAAAACATAACTGCAGACTTCGCGGATTTACTAAATTACGAAAAAATAGAAGATGACTATTTTAGAAGGCCGTACGTGGTCAACTTGTTGAATATTTTTAATCAGCTACCTTAAAACTTAAAAAAAAGTCTAGCATAGCATTGGCTCCCGCTCTCTTCTGACTCCGCCTCGAAGTGGACACGTGACCTGATTTCCGATTTTGTATTTCTTTCTGAAAATACAGCTCAACTGCTACTGCAGGAAACCCTCATCGGCAGATGGCGCAATACCTGCGATTTACTTCATGATTTCAGCGGACAATAAACTCTTACTGAGACAAAGTGTCTCAAATTTCTCGCATACACGTTCGCATTTCGAGCGCTTTACTAAGAAATTTTCATCACAAGGCCCATTGTGGACAAAATTGATAGAATAGGAAAGTACTGTCTTATGCAGTAGAACGCCTGTATAAAACGCACAAGTATCCAAGTATCCTCCTAAATTATAACTGAGAGAGAAAAACTAACGAATTTTCATTTTTCTTAAATTTCAGAGGTTTATGCTAATTGTTTAAATAATAAAAAATAAGTAACGAAAAATTTAAATATTCCTTTCTCTAATTTCATTGTATATAAATCTGTGCTAAACAGGGACAGAATTGTTTGTTGACTGCTCGTTTATTAAAAATGATTGCAAATAAACTTGATACTTTATTTACAGTTTCAAATCACGTAATGGAATCATATTTTCAAATCACGTAATGGAAGTATTTATACATTTAACAAATGAATACTTTTTTATTCTTTCCTTTCTTGAAACATCTTTACGTGATTTTTTTAATTTGGGACATTCAGCTTAGCTATGAAGAATCAGGAGGAAAGGTGTGAAATCCCAAAGCTAAAGTAATACATTTATTTTATATGTTAAAAAGGTTAAAAAGAAATTACTTCTTTGAAAATAATTTCTTTTCACGTTTCAAATTAAGATGAACTGTGGTTTGTAAATAAAAACTTGCCTTGATCTGGAAAAGATTTAAAATATGTTGAGAAATGATAAGTGACAAATAAATTTTACACAGCAAGAAAAACAAAAGTTAACGGAAATATCTGTTGGGAAATTTTATGTTAACATTGTAACCTTATATCTTAATAACATGGTCTTCGCTTAATGTTTCAAATTTATGTATTTTTCCTTTGAAATAACTTCTTAAAGCTTTTTAAGCTTAGAAATTTAAGTCAATGTTGAAGGTACCAGTGTATAGAAAAATTCAGTCTTTTTAATGGCAGAGAGCGTATATATCATTAATTATTTTGAATTGGGCTTGCTTTAGTGATTTCTAAAGGCAGTATTAGAAATAACTGACAAAAGTTTTTCAAAAAAACTAAAACTGCTGATTAGGTAAATGGCTAGCGTATGTGTTAGTCATCGTTATTATAAATATTTTTATAACAATACTGACATAACTTTGCCGTTATTATTCATGTAATGAAAAAAATTAATAAAAATATTGGAAGGCAATCTAAGTTTTTATAATCACTGAAAGTCTTAAAGTTACATTATGTATGGTCAAAACAAATATCTAGTTACAAATTTTTCAGTCTGGATTAATACGTTCTAAAACGTATTCATTTAAGTTCTACTTTTAACAGCATGTATGGAACACTATTTTTACACATACTTCTGGTGGATTTATATTTTTGGTTATAAGTTTTGCAACATGTATTTGTACAGTTTTATCTTAAAATTATGAGTTTATAATTTTTATTTACACATTACTGTTTCAATTACTCATTGAAATATGGCCATAAATAGTTTTCAGAACAGATAAAGTTAAAACGTATTTATACTTATGCATTTAATAACAAGAAGACATTTTTAAATGCAGTTGCTGCACAAAATATTTCAGAATAGTAAAGAAAGTTCTCAGTTTACATTTTGTCAATCACTTAAGGTTATGGTTTTCTTCACATGTTTTCTTTTCTATTCGGATTTCTTATTTAAACTCCTTTCTTTTCAACTGGAAGCATTTGAAAATTAATTATAGTGAAATAATGAAATATCTTTCCAATTTCCAAGGTTTGAAAAAATTACCAAAAACCTGCGCACTATAAATATCTGTATGATAATAAGATCCTAGAGCAAAAAAATAAGAAGCATGTGTAATCAGAGAGCCATTTAAGAAACTTACCTGGATACCATATGTTGATTCTTCATACAATATTGATATGTATGTCCAATTTAAACGCTGCACGATTTGAACCATAGCGTCAGCTTGATTTGTATCAGATGGCACAGTACGCAAAAAGTACTCAAACCGATGCTTATTGCTGAGTTCCGGACTTGTTGAAAAGAAGCTGACCTAAAACAGATTAAGAAAGAAACAAACTTTTATCAAATGTTACAAACTGCTACTTTTATTTCAATTCTTCTAAAATGCTTATCGCGAGTCTACAAATGAAACGTTTACTTAACCATTTAGACATTCATAACTTGTAAAATTAGCTTATCACTCCTCTTACCTTCAAACAGTCGTTTGCTCATGAAACATCATTTGATTTTACACAATATTTAACTGGATCTTAAGGCTTTATTGAAAAGATTAAAGATTTCATTGTTAAGTCTAAAAGTAGATCTCAGTATTTTTAACTATAAGGGATGTACGTATGCGAACATGATTTATATATATGAAATATGCGTATATATAAATACATAAATTAATTCATCTTTTTCATGAAATAAGTTTTTTATATACAATTTGAAATGCGTTTCTGGTTTAGTGAACTTAATTTACTAGAGTTATGCTGAAAGAAACCTTTTCATGTTAAAAAAAAAAAAAAAAAAGAATTCTTTATGCTTTTCTTTCAAACCCGTACGTAGATAGTGTTATTTAGAATCAATTACCAAAATGAATTAATGATATAGTTGTATTTTGTTCTGTATAATGTAACATGAAGATCTAGAGAGACGATATCCTGTCAGAACAATAAGAATACAGGGGAAAATCTTATTATCACTTAGTAAGTGTCTGTGTCGCTAAACTGGCGAGATATTGCCAAGCTATCGCCAAAAGTCATCAATACAGTTTTAAAGTTCGCATTTTAAAACTGTAATTTATTGATAAGTTCCAGAGACTTGAAGATTGTCAGAAGCTTGCTGAAAGTAAATTGGAGACTGTTTATGGTAGAAAACTGTACACCGATGGTTTTGAAAAAGCTGAAACGTACAGAGACAATCATTTAGAAATTAGTGCTAAATTGGAAAAGCCATTGAAAGTAGCTTCTGAAGCTAGAAATGAAAAAAAGCAAATTTAAGTTACCAAAAATAAAGCTGAAGAAATTTTCAGGTGACTCTAAGAATTACTAGCCTTTCTGGAGCTTATTTCAGAAGATTCTTGAAGATAGATCTATACCTGATGAAGATAAGATGTAATATCTAGTGCAGTCTGTGGAGATAAAATCGAAAGCTGATCGTCTCATTCAAAAGTTTTCGGAGACAGCTAAGAATTATTCAAACGCCATTTAACGGTTAAAAGAACGATTTGTAAGAGATTATTTGCTTGTCCAGATTAAGTTCGTGATTTATTAAGCATGGTTATGAAGAATGTCGTGATTGGATGAGCCACGACCTATTTGTTAACTTTATATGATGAGATAAAATCTAAACTGAGAGCTTACCAGTTCACCAGTACACCAGTTCAGTTGCTGTACCACCTGTTAAATGACTATCAGCGTTTGTATTCAATTGGTGGAGCATTCTGTTGTCGCTAAGGCCAGCCAAAAATCTCTATGGAATATTAATAGTTGTAGTGGAATGTGTAAAGGTACTTCGGAAGTTGGATATTTGTGATTTGTGTTTATCTTAAAGAGACTCTGTCAAGACTTTGATTGTGCTGATAGAGGATTTTAGCAATGTTTTATGCATTGTGATGTAGGGTTTTTCACCCCTTTTGTCTAAGATGAACGTCGAGGAACCTAGTGAACTATGTAGCGACTTATCACTGAGTTCAAACAACTAAAGATATAGACTCGAGAAGGGTTAAATTACCCTTTATTCACTCAAATAAAACTAACAGTCGACCCTTTCTCGGGCTTACGAGAAGCTTCTGCTCGGGCTTTAACTCAGACTAAGAAATATAAAACTAACTATGATAAACTAAAGGAGACTTAGCCGAAGCTTAACACAATTATCTAACGTAGTTGGTCCTTAACTTAAACTAGCCGGCGAATATCAAAATCACGTAATATACGGCCGAGTGTAACAGCTCCAAACGCAAGTGATAGCATTTTAACTACTTAAACTAGTCGGAGAATATCAAAAGGCACGTAATATACGGCCGAGTGTAACAGCTTAGCCCAAAGGCAAACACGCTCTACTAAGGATTCCTAGCACTCTCTATCGAAGTATATTGAAACTTCCTTAAATATTTCTTCTAACTCATTTGCACACAACACTATTCTAAAAACGCATTCTGGGAGTTGTAAGCGGAAACAAGAAAAGACAGAAAAGGGCTTTGAAATTAAAATAACTGTTATAACATTAAAATATACCTTGCATTGGTTCTAAGTTTACAGAGAACATTGCTTCCTTCCAGAAGAAGTTCGGTCCTCCAACCGCCAAGCGGTAAAATCACTGAACACTAGCAGTTCGGTCTGAGGTTCGAATTCCTGCGAACGGGCAGCCTACACGAGCGTTTTCGTAGTTTTTCCTATATGTAACGTGTATAAGAGCGATTTTCCCTTAGAAAGTCCTCGACGGATGGATTCCTCACCTTAGGCACCTTAGTCTCATCCCAGCCAAAGATATTTTAAAACAAGAAAAATGACTTTAAGTGATAAAAGAAGCAGTTAATATTAATGAAAAGTGCATTTTTTTTTTGTGTTTTAAAGAAACAGATTATTTAAGCAGATTTTATAATGTTAAAAATCAGTTGAATGGTTCTCAGTATAATAATTCTCATTTTATTTCATTTCATTTCAAATATCTAGGAGTCATTCTAGATGAAAATTTGACTTTTCAGAAACATCTCAGGAAACTATGAAAACAATTAATATCACGCTTGCAACTATGCGTTTACTTCTTGGCAGAAGAAGACATAGGGCCGCTTCAAATAAACTCCTCCTTATTTAAATCTATATTTCGACCAGCATTACTCTATGCTAGTCCTGCCTGTAGCTACGTTTCCCAAACTCACCCTCAACACATCCAAGTTCTTAAAAATAAAGCACTTAGATTATCAACGCGCCATGGTTCATTCCAAGTTCGTATACCCATCGTGATCTCAGAGTACTCACAATTCAAATTTATATTAAAAAATTGCTAGAAATTTCTTTTATCCAGCTCTCTCTCATCCTAACAACTGCATCAACTATCTTAGATGTTCTCCATTTCCCAGAGCAAAACACAAATATCCATCTGACATCGTATTAACATCTTTTACTCATACTAGACTCTACAGTTCACTTCATCATTAACATCTTTTATTCATACTAGACTCTACAGTTCACTTCATCATTAACATCTTTTACTCATACTAGACTCTACAGTTCACTTCATCATTAACATCTTTTACTCATACTAGACTCTACAGTTCACTTCATCATTTTCATCTTTTACTCCTACTAGACTCTTAAGTTCACTGATTTGGACCTTTCACCAGAAAATCACGTTATTCGTCGACTGATGGCGGCCACTTACATACTTTCGTCTCATTTTGCTCATACTACTCATTTTGTTTTACCAACGGTCTTCACCAGATGCAGAGTAAAAGGAAACACCGATTTCTGAAACTCTAATTCACTATATGTTATTGGTTAGTAATTCATATATAACATAGTAATACATACATAAATATACTTCGTAAATCATGTTTATTTTATTTGTAAGAATAAATCATTGGGAGTTAAGTGTTACAGAATGGGAATCCTTTCTGTTAAGAAATTAATTGAGACTGATCTGCATTAATATTAGGCTGTTTACCTGAGTTAAAATACAAGTACTTGTACTATAATCACTTATTAAGTTTTTATTCTTCATAAGTCAGCTCGTAAAATGTCCCAAAATATTTGATTGTCACCTAAAATTATCTGTTTAGCAGTAATTAGTTCATCCACCGAAGTTCATAGAGTTAAAAAATCACCAAATAAAATCCATTTAATCAAATCTGTATTCAGTCAGTTTGATTTTAAAGGAAATAGTTTATTTTAATTGGCATTACTTGATTATCATGATTTTAAATGAAAAAATATTTTTAAACATACCTGTGGAATTTTAAAAAGGCGCAGGAGATTAGCTACTTGTATCGAAGTAACACTGGAAGCTGCTCCTAAAACTCCTGATATCTTCGTATGCTTAATAGTCGGACTCGACCCATCGGGACATTTGTATCCGCTGTCGTCATCGATATTACTCATAGAACCTATAACATCAAAATGAAACTTCTGTAATGTTCATTAATCATAAACTCATTAAATATTAAAATACATAAATTTAAATGCAAAAATATCGCATAAACACCTAAGTCTGTATCTCTCTGTGTCAAAAAGTATCTTATTTTTTATGGTAGAAAACATATACATTTCTCATTCTTTTTTCCGTTATAACCGAAATGAAGAAAATATACATCGTATTTTAACTTAATAATCTAAACTAAGAAAATAATTATTCTGAATTTTATCTCCCGTTTTGTATGTATGGCAAAGATAATTCCAGATTTAGTGCATTGACTGCGTGTAGAAAAAGACTGATTAAGTTTCGTAAGAGGAAAAGAATCTATAAAAAGATATATTAGTTAACGTTTTGACTTCGGATAAAGTTTAGAAGCATCTGATGAAAACATTTGTCGTCTGTGAACAGAGTCTGAACGCGTAGAAAATTAATCGTTTATTAGATGCGAACATAGCAATCGTTATCGATTCTAAAAATACGTTAAACTGGCCCGAGAACGAAAAGAAATATTACCAATTTTTACCCGCATCTAAAAGTGAAAAGAATATGGTTTCAGTCAGTTGGAGTGTTAGACTAAGTATTTAGCCTTGCCAAAGTTCTTCCTTGTCAAAATGTTTATTGAAATTTTGTTAGTTAGTAGGTAATTTAATATTAACTATTTTATGTGTGTACATTACTTTAGATGAATAAAAGTGCAAAAGTCTTCAAAACATAGTCGCTAATTTTTAAGGTTTCTTTCCAGTCCTTTTTTGCAGTAATTTATCTTTTTCTTAAGTAATGAGCCACGTGTGTATTTTAGGGTGTTTCCATAACTCTTCGATTACTTGACGAATTAAAATATCCGTTTTAGTAATTACTGGAATATCATTTAAATAAACAATTTCATCAATTAATTTCTTTAGTGATTACTGAAATGTTATTTGCATAAACAATTAGATCAATTCATTTGCACGATCCCTTTTAGTGAAAGGCAAGGTAGAGTTTGAATATTCTAAATATTTCAACTACAAATATATTTACTGTCTCCTACATGTGAAGTTTTATTTAATATTAGTTTTATAAACCGTCTATTTATTTAACAAAAACATAAGCTTGTGAGAGATGGATAAAGAATTTAAAAGTTTTTTTTAAGAAGAGTTTCGAAAAAGGTAATGTAATCGAAACGTTAGTTCTGAAAATTGTTTTTCCTTTTTTCCGGTAGATGCTAAGATATTATTTTCTGCAAGTTTTATACCGCTGACGGAACGGCTTTATTTTTTATTTATTTTTAATTTTTCAGAGGAAAGGATTCGAAATTATTCGAGAAACTTTTATTAAATTTGATTCTGTACGTGTTTATGTCAAAGCTATCAAAGCGCAGATTTTGTTAAGGCGATAGGAGTCAAACTATTTTATGTAATACTTATATGAAGTTTGATGAAGTTCAACTTTTATTTGAAAATTAGGCAAGTAATATCTAACTTAAATCATTTACTTGAAATAATATAAGAACATTACTTCTATCATAAACTTAGTAATGAAGTATGTAACAGGAGCAGTTTATTATATCATAGGTATTTCTCCCGCCGTCTTAGCATGCCCGGATAGTGTAGTGGTCAGCACGCTCGTCGCGTATTCGAGAGGCCCATGGTTCGAGTTCCGGCAAGGGCATTGTCATGTTTCCTGCTTCCAAAAATACCTAATGTCTCTACAGTGGCGCCCGAACTAAAAATAGTGGTGGATGACGATTCTCCGCCACCAGGATTTGGCGACTGGGTTCTCTAAACCCCAGTCGCCCTTTAAAGGGGGGGGAGTATATAAGGTGTTTCTCCCGCCTTCTTAACATGCCTTCGCAGTTTGGCAGATTGTTTCAGTTTTCAAAGATATAATTAATTAAAGTTTAATAATTGACAAGCCTGTTAGATATACTTGTTGTTTAGTACGTTAGAGGCATACGGAATAAGTACAATAAAATATTAAAAGAGAGTTTTTTAAGAAAAGGTAAAAAGGTTGACCTCATAAAATCTGCTGGTGAACCTGGTGAAAATATTAACATTCATACTAAAGTTTGGCAGATTGTTTCAGTTTTCAAAGATATAATGAAAGTTGAATAATTTACAAGCCTGTAAAATATACTTGTTGTTTTATACGTTAGAGGCATACGGAATAAGTACAATGCAACATTAAAAGAGTTTTTTAAGAAAAGGTAAAAAGGTTGACCTCATAAAATCTGCTGGTGATCCTTGTGAAAATATTAACATTCATACTAAAGTGTGTAAATTAAATAAACTAATTATGAACAGTGTTAATACAACATTCAATAAGAACCTTTTAAAGACTACTATGCAAAAACGAATAACGGCGGGGGGTGAAGAAATGTAAGCAAAGTTACAGGAGTTAGAAATGCAGGCAAGATTACAGGCCCTAGAGAATGCAGAATAAAATAAGATAATATACAAATTGAAAAAAAAAAAAAAAAAAAAAAAAAAAAAAAAAAAAGAAACAGAATAAATCAAAGCGTCAAAAATATTGGCTTGATGGTTTCTTTTAGCGATACGATCTGTTTCTAAGGAGATTAACAGCACTGTTAGAGCGAGAAGATATTGAAAGCATTAAATATGCAATTGAATTCACGTCTTTTGCAGATGTCATAGACTATTATATATAGAACTATAAAAAATAACTGCTATTAAGGAAGTTTTAGCGTTTATAGATCAAGGATACCAAATGACATTTAATCAGAGAAGGGGGCGATATCAATCTAATCGAAATATTTCGAGGTTTAGACCATTACGACGATGTTCCAAAAGAGGACGACATGATTGTCCTTATATGTTAATTTTGGTTTTGAATAAAGAAGTAAATTTAGCTTCTTGAATGTATGAATAAATATAGATAGTTAAAAATGGATAAATGGTAATTGTTGTACACCTTGCACAAAAAATGGGACAGTTCTATATCTCCTGTTCTCCTGGATCAATTCTCGAAATTTGTGTTTCTCCATGTCTCGAAACCGCTACTTAGGCTATATATTATATTTATATATAACATTGTTCTAACATGAGTATTTTGAAACAAAGTCGGACTTTTTTTGAATAACATACACATTTTTTCCATATTTCCATTCTACGACTCAAATCATGCCAAAGTGCCAAGTTTTGTAAAAGTCGCACGTGTTGTTACTATCAAGTTTACGTATTAGCGCGTTTAGAAATTTAGCATATTTGTTATAAGCGATAATAACGCAAAATATTGTTTTGAAAGTATGTTTTTATATTGTTAAAATTATTTGAAAGTATGAATGAGCGATGCACTTTTTTCCGCTCGTGTACAATGAAAAAAAGAAAGGAAAATAGATTGCTATAAATTAAAAAGTTTCCCAAGTGAATTATTCTTGACACACAACTGAAAAAAATGTGTTAAGATAAATTTTAAAATTTCTCCGTAAATTTCTCACTAAAAATTTCAAAATTTAATATCTCGTAATAATTTGAGTAATAGAATCGAAATATGAAAACAAATTGGTATATTATTTCAAAAAAAGTTCGATTTTGTGGCAAAATACCTATGTTAGAACAATGCTACATATAAATCTAATACATATCCTAAGTCGTGCTTTCGAGGCATGGAAAACGCAAGTTAAATTTCAACAATCGGTTCAGGAGAACAGGAGATATAGAAATTCCTCATTCTTTTTGTGCAAGGTGTACATGAAAAAAATAATATAGGATATCTTCCTGCTTCTTCTAAAATAAGATATCTTCCGAAGCTCTAATGAGATTTTAGAGGAAAAATTAATATCGAACTCGGTCTTAGTTTCGAGGAAACACGTTACATAATTTAAAATCTAAAGCAATTCAAATGAATTTCATGAAGCAAAGTGTGCTTCCTACCTTCGACAGTCTGCTATAGAAAGGAGAAAAGGGAAAAAACTAGAAAATGCATGAAATAAACACATTATCTCACTCTTTGATAAATGAATTGTATATTTAAAGAAAGATTGAAAGGAAACATACTCTGTAAACTGTTGGAATAGAAATTTACTAGCTGCATGGCAAGGTATTATCAATGTATTTTTACCTACATTTGAATTTTTTATCATATTCATATTAAAAGCAAAATTAATATATTAGTGGAAGTCCGTGTAAGATAACTTATCATCTTACAAATCATTAACCTGTATGAAATGGGAAATGGGACTCGGAAGATTGAAATTTTCCTAGGTTTTTCCCATAAGTACTTACCAGTTTCTCTTTGAAAAGCTCTCTGTCTCTGGAGTTGTCAGGCATACTCTTCCCCCCCTCAACCCCCGAAAAGAAACTTCTTAAACTTACTTTTGTGATTAGGATGCAAATGATTACTGCTTTATTTTAGCTGTGATGCAATTAATATCCGAGTTATTGAATTAATTTCTAAATGAAATATTGTAGATAAAATAATATTAGGGTGTAAACCTATTCGTTACTTCGTTAGGTTACTCTCAGAAAACCTTGCAGCAAAATGTAAGAAAAACTAAATCTAAACTTCATTAAATAAAATCTAAATTATGGAAAATTCATCATCATTATCAAGTTATGGAAAAGTAATGAAAAGAACTAAAAAGAAAAGGTTATAAATTTTGCATGTAAAATACTATACATGTACTTGTTGTGCATTTTATATCCACACACACAGAAATATATGCATACATTCACGTACATATATATCACTGAGTACTGGAAGTTTGACTCGGGTTTGATCTCAGTTTGCATTAGAAAACCCTCCACTAAGTCATATAGCCATCTTGCGCTCTGCTATCTTGAAGAAATATGACATTATCTTATATACGCATATACTTTAAAAATTAGTTCATCTATGTATATGTAATGTTTTCAGTTATTACAACACATCGTGGGCGAATGGTGAGGCTATTCCATTACACGTTCTGGCAGATGGTTGACGAAGCTGGGGTGATTGAAACACGGAGAAAAATGACGACTCAGGACTTTTCACTTTTAACAGCAAGCATATCTTTATTTTAATTTATAGCAGATGACTTTTTCTAGATGAAGTTAATCAAATAACTTATTCAGTAATTGAACTATTAGATACGACTGACCTTAAACTTTAATACGTCATAACGTTCTAACAAAGAAAGAAGAGGAGCATAGCGGAAGCGTTAGCAGGACGAAGGCGAGAAGGCATCTGTCTAGGAGAACTTATGACTCAGCATTTATATGAATGGTTATGTAACAGAGTAGCTTCTAGAAAAATGTAGAAAACTTATGACGCAGCATTTATATGAGGAGGTTATGTAATAGGCGTGAATGTTCTAGCAGGTACTGGGTTAGGGGACGATCCTGAATTGCAGAAAAGTAATTAAAGGTTGCTGGTTCGCAAAGAGCAAAGCCATCGTATTTTTTTTTTATATTTTATATCTTCCCCCCCCGTCAAAAAGAGAGGCCGGGGTGTAGAATGATCTAGAAATGACGCAATGCAGAGAAGTTATTACGATTTTAGAATAGAGAGGAAGAATTAATGTTTATAGTTATATTATAATTCTGATTCAGATATTTTTATCTTACATATATATACTATATACACCCTAAGATAACGTGATTTGTGTTTTGGTTCGCAAGAATTAGTTTCGGTTTGCTTTATCCTGATTTCTTAATATTTAATCTTCAAAAATTATTTATTAGTTGATAGCTTATATTATTTATTTGCGTGATGAGTATCATATGGTAACTATTAATTTGAAATTGACGCAGTTTAAAAAGTTGTAAGCAATTACTATTTTTAAGACAGAAAGGAGAAATACCAGAATTAAAACGAAGAGTTAAAAGAAAGTTACAATTTTGATTTATGAAATTTTGATTTTGCGTATATGTAGTATAAAATTGAAAGTGAGTAAAGGTGCTGAAGAAATCGTTCTGTCTCCTCTTCATGCCAACACAACGCGTTGTTGCGAAATGTACAAGCGCGGTGAGATGGCTTCCCCTCAAAGCAGTTTTAGGGTTGCCATAAAATGGCAAAGGAATGCAGGGTTGCCACAATTGGCGAGAAATCATTCCATTTGGCGACAAAATTGGCGATATACCACGGACGGATGGAGAACCTTCTGGAACGAATTCTTTCCGGCTTAGCCCAGAATGTTCTCGAACACAAGCCGAAAGCTATATAAACCCTGCTGGTCCGCAGTCAGTCAGTGTGTGTGCCTCGTCTAGGTTACGAGATAGTTGCAGTCTCGTCTAGCAAGTCAGTCCGTGCGGAGTCGATCGAGTTGACAGCCGGGCAGCGAGTGCCGAGTGGGTCGTCGAGTTCACCGAGAGAGTCTTTTAGTGTATCGCGAATTAGTGCATCGTCGAGTTTTGTCTTAGACTGTGGCGAGTCAAGAGCTATACCCTTGTGCATCCCGCGTTGTAGCGGGGAGAGTCTCGAGAGTACGTTGAGTTCCGAGAACGACCGAGCAGAGTCGGAGGCTGTACTCTGGTGCTTTGCAGTGAAGCTGGCTCCTCCGTGATAGCCTGATAACCTGAAGGCTGTGTCGCTGATTGTTCCAGCGTGTTTATAGTAGATCTTCGCCGACTGTAAATGTGCTTTGGAGCTGTCCTGATTGATGTTGGTAAATAAAGTGTGTTTCGATACTTCATCCAGTCGTCGTTATTCACTCCAAATCTACGAACCCCGTACGAACGTGAAGGAAGAAATGAGCGTAACAAAAAGAACAGAAGCAGAGAGAAAAGAACGCAACAGTATGATAGATTATTTCGATTATCACTAGAGTTATGCATCACTGATTTACTCTTTCTTCACTTTTTCATTTTTAATTTCACCAGATTTTCTCACATTCTCAGTATTCTGATGTTTTTTTTTTTTTTTTTTTTTTTTTTTTTTTTTTTTTTTTTTCCCTGACGTTCAACTTATATAACCTTCTAGCAATGTACAAATTTTATAAATTTAAACTTATTTACAATTTTACGTCATTTAAATTGAAATTATACATAAAGAAAAGAAGCAGTGGATTTTATTTCTTCAAATATGAGGATGTACAAATACTTCCGATTACCGAGTTTTTCAATATAAGGTCGAGAATTGAATGAGAACAGTTTTAAAACTGCTGATTGAAGGGATAAGTAGTAAATATAATAATGCGCTGTAGACCTAAAATTCCGATTGATAAAATAATTCCTATATTTTAGTAAGCTACCTACTAAACGTTTTGTAATTTTACATGGATAATTCTTAGTAAATAATTTCATAATATTGGCTAAAGTTTAAATATCTAGTTAATGTTTTCCTATTAAATCTTCAAAACGTGCAAATTTAATTGCTTCCTAAACTTTGTAGAAGCATTTTAGATTTGATATTTATAGAATTCCTTATGTTTTTTCGAAATATATTTTTGAATATATTATATTATATTATTATATAACCATATTTTTTGAAATATAATAATATTTGAAAATATATTTCTGAACTTAGCTGTAAGATCAATTTTGAGGAACTCCTTTTTATCATTGAAAGAATTTCCTGTACATACGTTAAGGTATTCCGCCCACCTTCTTAGCATGACTTCGTGGTGTAGTGGTCAGCATGCTTGGCGCGTATTTGAGAGGTCCGTGGTTCGAGTCCCGACGAGGACAGTGCACGTTTTTCCTCTCTATTGCTTTAAAAAACTACCTAATGTCTCTATAACATCAATATGTAAAACATTCTAAATCTTTATATATTTAGGACTGTAAATACGTAATATAGGACAGAACTAAAAACATAAATCAGTACTGTCATAATCAGCTATAAGAAATCATTAATGGGATTTAAAAATTCTTATTAATGTTTATAAAAATTCAGTTTTGAAAGATATGTTTGACATAATTTGGATAATTCTAAAATAAAAAGATAACTAAATATATTTTCTATCCTAAGTGTAAAACAATTTCCTTGGCGTATCACAGCATTTAATACTCTTGCAAAAATATTTCCATATTGTGATCAGATTATCTTTCCATTGTATTTAAATATGAATACATATTTGTAGTGCGAAAGGTTTTTACAAATTTTTGTAAGAAAAATATACATTTCTTACTGTTAAAGTGAATGTGATCAGTCACCTGTGTGTGTTGAAATTTCAGTTACCGAGTACAACGTTGAGTTCAATATATTATATAAGATTTCAAATATTCTGCTACATTACGAAGAAACTAGAATATGAGAATTTTTATAACTGGCGGATATAAAATAAAGGAAATTTAATCCCAACATCAAGAATATCTTTCATTGAAAATTCAATTTTTTTATTTATATATATTTTTTTATGTTAAGCTCCACATAGTCCTCCTCTTGCATTTCCTTCACCTTGAGGAATTTTATTCCGTTTGTGGAATTATTTATATCAGATGGGAATAAACGGGGTTTATTCATCAAGCGACGTTTCTTTCCTAAGCTATATTGGAATCTTCTTTCATCCTTTTAACCTTTTTTATCTTAAACACACAACTTTAAATTTCTTTTGGAACATTTTCCGGCTGTTAGCTTTCACTTCCAATTTAATGCTTTAAGAAGTTTTTTTATACTTTTTATTGATTGTGCGTATATTTTTTGTACATTTAGTTTCCTAAATAATGCAGGAATCTTATCCTTGGGAACGCAGCATTTTCCGGTTTACTGACATTTTAATCAATAATAACTTAGTAATCTGAAATTTATTGTTTGTACTTTTGTTGACAGGGCAAATAAGAATTTGTTTTGATCATCCAACCCAGAATTTTTGTTGTGTAGCTCATATTTTATCGCTGAACACTGGTAGTTCGGTCCGAGGTTCGAGTCCTGCAAACGGGCTGGCTGCATGAGCATTTTCGTGTCTTTCCCCGTGTGTAACGCGTATAAAAGCAAGTTTTTCTTAAAATGTCTCCACGAAGGCATCCCTTCCCCAGATATATATGTACAACCTTCGAGTACTTTGCTATAATCAAATAAATCAAAACAAATAAAGTGTTTCTAAACATGGTCATAAATGTTTGCGGTTGCAGTAACAGTTATTTGAAACATAACATGTAAAGAGTAGGGCGTAAATTCCATTATATGTCAGAAATAATAATTTATATTACGTTCCTCATATACCATACAATTTATAAATCTAACAAAAAGGAAAATATAATTTTGTTTGATTGAAAAGGTAAACTATGAAAATCAGTATAACTTTTTTGAAATACCGTTACGAATTTTACTTTTAGTTGGATATTTTAATAGAATTATAATTAAAACTGTTTTATTTTCCCGTGCCGTGCACGTGACAAATTTTAAGAGA